ATCTAATCTCTTCGTTTCCCATTGTTTTTAACTAACCAACCAATCAGTCAAAATAACAAATTTCCTCGCTTCGGTTAATTTATAGTCAAATGTAAAACGTTCAATAATATCTAATAATAATGATTATTTTGTTTACAGACTTTATTATTTTCATCTTCAAGATTATATAGAGAAATAGAAAAATGATTTAAAGATTCATTAATAACAATATGATAATAAATGACAATTATTCATTCCTCTTCTCATATTGTTATTATTTCATACTTCGGCACAATACACACAGTACGTACATATGCCAATAAGAGACTGATCGATTGCAGACCTAAACATCAATGGGAAGATTCAAGTAAACAATACGAGATGAATTTAAACTTCACCCCATTGCATAAGCGAGTGACTATCAGGACTCAGTAGCTAACTGGATAACGCGATGGCGTTTGGAGTGAACGGTACTGCATTCGAGTTCCAGAGTGGCCATCAACTTTGAGATGCGGGTATTTCCAGCTGACAATTCTCAAATAGGACGAAACACCCGTCCTGGATTCCAATGCTAGCAACTATAAATCTTTTGCTTATTTTGTCGGTTGTTGAAAACTTAAAATAAGTATTCGTTTGACGGGAAATTATTCATCTATTAAATTTTAGCAGCTTATCGCATGTAATATCCTACACTTCTGGGTTATTTTGTGCTTGTTGATTTTCTACCTTGCTTTATGTGAAAGATTGTGATACTACATAGGTACGTTGTTACAAAAGTGTTTAAACCAACAAGATACCGTTTAATGCATACTGAAAAGATCGATATCATTTTTTCCATACATCTAATTCATTTTACTTGTTGACACTAGCCAAAACGTATATATTTTTGCTAAAAACGTATGTATTATATATTGATATAAGATCTGCGTAAACCATTATTTCTATTGAGAGATCGGTTAATTAGGTAGATCTCCGTCGACTGATACGGTTGGAACATATGCTACTCATTCCTAACAATCCCCAATCTAGATAGGCTATTTTTGCTAATATCCAATTAAGTAAGAAGAAAGACATGACATTAGTTCATGAATCCATTGACTGTTGGTACGAACCATGGTGGTAGTTGCAAACTATGTTTTTAAGATAAACAAAATATCCGTAAACGATGGTTAGAAATTTTGGGTGATAAGACGTAGAATTGTTCATGGTGGTGTTGATGAATTTACCCTTTATCTTTATCGATCTTGAATTCCAATTTTCTTTCATTTATCTCTTTTAACTATTTTTTCTTGCCCTATTCTTGATCCTGAGTCAGTTTTTTAATCATTATTGCCATTAAAATATACTGATATCTCCCCTCGTTAATCTCATCACTTGCCAGTGTAGTACAGTAACTTGAACCAACGTATCTCTATGACAGACTTCGCATTGATAATAACTGACAAAATGGGATGTGTTAATATATCACGTGAGACAAAGTTTGATCTCGATTTACATTACAATAATGTTCTCTTCTTATTACTTAGAAACAAATGCACTAAATGCCACATATTTTAATGTGTATTATTTTAACATGTCTGACTCATAATCAAATGGGGCGCAATTAGGATGAACTGATAACAAAAAATGTAAAACTGTGATTGAATTATTGTTTATATGAGCACCAAAAAACACCTTCATGAACAATTTCATTCGACTATGGTCAATGTTTTAGTTATAAAGAAAATCACTCTCATACAGTTTATTTTTATCGACAGAGGATGTCTAAACAGTAGTCAATTTCTTCCATTATTTTAAATAAATTTTTACTTGTATAAATAAATCTATACAGAATGTAAAATATTTAATGAATTTTGATGAAGTTTTGTTCTCTGAGCTGGATAGTTTGGTTGTGAAGCCTTCATCGTTCTTCTCAACGACCGCATCAGTTGATGATACCGTCATCAATCTGAGATAACAAATCTTCTCCACCATCTCATTATTGAATTTTCCCAACTTGACTTATATTTTATATATAAGTATGAATCATTGTTGTTTTTCTGTTTTTTTTCATAAAATGTATTAATAACATCAACTATATTTCAAGTATTTGTCGGTTTCTGTAGGGATTTAAGGAATAGCTGCCATTATTTCTAGTAAATGTTCTTACTGATATAATATAATTACTTTTAAGTTGATTTACTGAATATAATAAACTAATATAATTTATTTGGTCAAACTGTAAAAATGTATGTACCATTATAATTCTCAAAAAAACTCTATGACTAGTTTACTCGTAATATTCTTGTTCTCAATCTTTTTTTCTTTGAATAACCGGGATGAAAACGTTTTTAAACATGGCATTCAAATTGAAAACATTTTGATTGAGATCATGAACCGATTGATGTTAAACCACCGTTGGAAACCTGGAAGTACTGGACGGCCGTTTCGCCCTAGTGTGGGACTACACAGCAGTGCGCATCCACGATGCCGCTCGCGGGATTCGAACCAAGAGCCTTCGGTCTCTCGCGTAAACGCCTAACCTACTGGACCACTGAGCCGGCATCCAATGGTGAAAGTGTCTAACATCAACCAATCCATGAAATTGCGTGACCGTCTCCCATTGTACTGAGGTAGATACCTGTCATGGATTAGCTCCACTGGTCACAGCTTCTCACTAGAGCTTCGAAAATTCCCTCACGAAGCTAGTCACTAGTGAGCGCATGTTAATTTTAGGCGTACTTTTAGAAATTTAACCTTATTTTGGTTTTCAACTGATGATTATCATGCAGTTATGGGTGTATTTTGATAATTAATTATTTGGGACAGATAATTTGTAGTTATTTCAAAGTATACAAATATTTTCGAAAAACAAATTAACTTCATATTTTCTATATTCCACTAGTAGCACAACATCAGTTCAATTATATTACGTAACATTAAGAAATCGTATATTTGACTTATATGCTTTCTGAAAAGAAAAATAATGTTAACATACTTCTGACTCTGATGCTAATTAGAATTGATTTAACCTCTGTACTACTTGTCATTCATTAATAAGTTACATGTTTGGAGTGTAATAAATGATAGACACGCAAGTAGTTAATAGAAGCAGTCAATAATTTAATAGCTTTGAACTTTACAACATTATATCATACATCATATTAATTATCAGATACACAGATTCAATGTTTTTGTTAATACCTAACCATTGGGAAACTGAATAATGAAAATATTCATTCAATATTTACAAAATATTTCTTTAAAACAAAGCAAAATTATTACCATCCTTCTTAAGTCATTGGAGGAAGGATGAAATAATCAATAAATTAGGGTACATGATATTGAGTGGCTCAAAATAGTGACCATAATTTAATGTGTTAGTGGTATGATGGAAAGAAAAGTCAATTTTCGATTGATTTACCCATTATGAGTTTTGTTCCAGATTACTTCCGTTTTGATTCCATGTAATGATTACTCAATGTAGTATTTGTTTTATTGTCTCGTATGATATTTTATTCTGTATAATATGCAATATTCTTGTATTCCATTGACATGAACTATGCTTAGTATGTGATTTGTTATAACTATGAGTATTTTTCGTATATGTGATTTCATCCTAGTTATTATTCAAAATTGGTGTACAACTAATATATAAATGAGTGTATTTTCTAATAGAGTCGTCGTCGCCGTGTTTCGGGGTTAATAAATCTTCATTTACACCAGTCTTTGTGTTCTTACTTTCGCATCGTGGGAATCGCAGAGTTACCTCGTTCCGAGTATAGGTGGTAAGCGTTTCCGACATAACAATCAGCGACGACCAGATATAAAAAGTAACATTCAATGAGCGAGTTATAACGGTTAGATAGAATGAAATTACCAAATTAATCAATACCCTTCATTTATAATAATTTAGTTGAATTAGAAATAAAGAAAAGAAATGTTCAAGTTATTTGAAAAGTTTATGTGACTGATAAAATCTCACAACTAATCCACTTTTTCTTATATACGTAAAAATTCTTCCTTATGTTCAATAGACGAGTTTCTATACAGATCGATGTAAATGCACTTCATATTTTATAATCAATGGAATAATTCATAGCACAATCCTTATCAAATGGCGTTTCATACAATAAGATATAAACTTTTACAAAATGCACATAAACTACAAACAACACCTCTGGTGCATGAATAAGTTTCTGAGATATGTATAATGTTATAAGTTCACCTATTCGTTAATCGAATGTAATTGGCTAACTAACGTCGAATGATAATTGTTAAATGTAAAGTACTAAACAATTGAAATTCATATTGCCCATGCAATGAAATACGATATAGGTCTATTAAATTTCAAACAATTACATATCATTAAAACATGATTAGCTTTATCTTAATGGTAAAGAAAAACGTTTTATTTCAGTGTATCTTTAAGTATTCACAAAAACATCAATTATGTTAAAACATTAAAATAGATTTCATCATGAGTGAGTTTAATTTAACTCAGGGTACATTCATTCATCTTGACTTAGGTGCATTAGACTTTGTTGAGAAGATAATTATTGTACCCTTAATAACTTGGATGGATGAAATGAAGTTAAAATTCACCTTACCAAAACTATGTGATACAATATGCCTGTAATCAATAATTATATTGAAGGAAATCGTATAGATCTAAAATGAATACTCATAAATCAGACAGAAATTGATACACATACATATGAGGTGTCTAAATGCTTGATATGAAATAGGCTGAATTTTATGATCCCCCAGGTAGATATTTGTCATGTAAACACAGTTCTCCTTCTGAATTGTAATAAAGAAAACACACAATATTGTATTCAGTTTTTCTTTTAGAATAACATTGGATTACCAAACATAATTGTGATTTCATTGTAAACAATAAATAGACAATAAGTAAGATACAATCAAATCTCGTGAAGAAAACTGAATTTTTATTTATTCTAGCTACATATCACATTTACAGTTTTTTTCCTCTAGTTTCATATGTATTTTTATTTCATTATTGTTCTACTGTATTTAACAGGGAATGAGAAGATACCTGTACATACGTATCTCACTGCGGAAATGTGAAATGTATGAAGAACACGACTGAGATGTTAAAAAATCCATTTAAAAGAAGATTTATCAATATTGGGCATTAGATCCTTTTACATATTTTAAATATCCGTGTACAGAATTGTATGAAAGTTGTACGAAATTGATGTGACATTGAACAATACAGTATAAAATTAATACCATTATTAACAATTGTCAATAGATCCATAAAATCACCCAATGCATTATACACAGTATCTGTGAAACAATCACCCACAAGTCCACTTAAAAATAATAATATTGCCTGTAATGTATAAAAAGTAGTAAAAGAAACAAACATTATAATAATGCTATGCACATAAGTAAATATATATATATATATATATTGCCATAGTACAACTAAACTGATAGAATTTAATCAACAACAAAGGGACTAGATAGTCGTGTCTTTGTTGAAACAATTACAAATATAAAAATCTTAAAGGGAACTCCAGAATAGCTTGGTAATGAGGCTAAATGATACAAAAGCGAATCTTTCAGAAAGCACCAGTTCCCTCAACATAGCTAGTACACTTTGATAAAGGATTCCGAATAACAATCAACTGAAGTTGAAGGTTTGTAATCCACAACCACTTCACATATGTGTGAACGATCTTGTATATATCCTGTCAGAGTTTCATCTTTTCATGTAACTGATTTTCCTAAGTTATGTGACGTTATGAAATAAAATTTTTATATTTTAATCCTGAATGTTTCGAAGTAGACGATGATTAACTATCCATATTATTGCTGTTAAAAAAATAATTAGATAGGGGTTTTGTGGATATTATAGTAATTTATTAATTTAATACATGAGTTGATTAAAGCTAGACCACCATGGAAAACCTGAAAGAACTGGATGGCTGTTTCGTCCTAATATTGCATTTCTGAGCAATGCGCATCCATGATCTCGCTAATGGAATTCGAACCTAAAAAAGGTAATTACAAAGTAATAAGATTTTTATTTAACCTGAAAAATTCCAAACTTATTTATCACTAAAAGTAACAAACAAAAAATGTCTAAAAATATTGAAAAATTAATTATTAAAATACAGTAAGATTTGAGTAGATTTCGATGAACTCTCGAAGTGATTTTTCTTGTTTGCCTCTAAACTATTACATAACACTACAACTTATAAATAAATCAATTAGATCAATCCAATGAAATATTCAAGAAATAAGAACTGCTGAAATATATATATATTGAATATATACTTCAACATACCAGCTGACGTCTTATTAGAAATCGACGAATCGATATTACTGCTAGATGAAATATAACCAATCAGCGTCAATTTGAAATATGACTTTATGTCTTTTGATTTTAAACAAAAAATATTGGCTCTTCACTATTTCAGTCATCTTTGTATTCTGTTCCTTTCAGCGATTAAAACAATTTAAACCTTTCATCTCAAACTTCCGCTCAAAGCTTTTTTTTCTGTAACTAACCATTAGGTAATATTATAGTGTAAATAATTTGTAATTTTAAGAATTATGATATCTTTAATGAGAACAAGATATATAAGTGAATGATATTGTTTTCAACTAGATCCTCATTAGGCTTTACTCTTATATACAGTAATATTTATTTGCATATTCAAAAATCATGGCAGTTTACAAGTCAGTAATAACACTGGAACAAATTACATAACCAACCATAATAGTGTGATTACAGGTTTACTAGTTGTGGAATAAAGGAATAAAGGTTTACAAATTTCTTATGAATACAAAAACTTGAATTGTTGGCTCGAAACTCTATAGCTTCTGTTATGTGCAGAAGGTGAGATCAAACCTCAAAAGTAAAAAAAACTACTACGGATACGTTATCTACTACATAAACTCCATCGATCATATATGATAGAACAGAGCTGTGTATTGTTTTAACGAACCATGAAGGGAGTTGTTCCATAACTCGCTATATAAAATCATATATTGTTCTGTGTTGAACAATAATTGATCATTAATTTTCTTTATTTTTCTATAGATTAATTCAATTATAACAACCAGATGGTATTTCTTATAATGATATGCCTAATTAAATTAGATATTTTGGTAAATTTTAATGAATGATCAAGAGTGATAAAGTAGATGGGTGAAAGTTGCTTAATCCATATAATCTATGAATAAATAAAATACATTGTGATCCTAGATCGGGTAATAACGTTAGCGAATAAAAAAATTTAATCAGAACTATGAATTAAAACAATAAATTTGGGAAATAATACAGTGAGAAATCCTTTCTAAATAAAACAATCCTTACTTAATTATAGCATCTCTACTTAGAACATTTGTTGATTATTAACCATACTTTATATCTAGGCATACGCATAGTGGACATATGATCAATCGCAGACCTAAACATCAATGGGAAGATACAAGCAAAACAATACCAAGTAAATTTAAATTCACCCCATTGCACAAGCAAGTAGCTATCAGGACTCAGTAGCTGAGTGGATAACGTGATGGCGTTTGAAGCGAATGGTACTGTGTTCGGGTCCCAGAGTGAACATCAACTCTGAGATTCAAGTACATCCAGCTGACGAGTCCCAAATAGGACTAAACGCGCGTCCTGGATTCCAGTGCTAGCCACGATCCGTCATTGCTTACAAAAAGTTTTTGACATTATTTACATTTATTTTGTCCGTTTCCACAGTTTCTACATTTACCATAAAATGATTGTATATGTTGTTTAAGTGCATGACTTTGAACACACTTTCTTCCGTTGTGTAACACTCATAACATGACACACATTGCTAACTACTCGTAAATACACTATTATACATACGTCTATCGTTCCGCATAACCTGTGGTTATGATAACTGAACTCTGAAGTATCTGTTATCTACATTTATAGACTGCAGTTACATTCACATTATATTTTACATCTGTTGAAATTACTGGAACCATAACAACCTCACTGGAATTATTAATTATCTATAATTGTGGATCCTGGTACTAAACGCAACTCGAACACTCACAATCTTGCCAACCTAAGTAACGTCTTTTAACTTTATTTGTGTTTATTAATTATGATTGATATATTATAATATTAACATTTGGACGTAATAACTTTATTGCTATTTTTGAGTTAATATATTTTTGCTCCACCACAATATACATCTTCCTGTGAAGTCATGACAACTGTAAAATATATATTCAAACATGTTATGCTCATATCAATATTTTATTCAAATAAGAGTGTGTAGGAAGTTGAATTAGTGAGTAGGATATTTTTTAATTTTAGAAATGTTTTATAGTTAATAACTAATGAACTAAGTAAATGTAAATCTTATATTTATTAGAAAATATAATTCTTTGAATAGATTAATCACTAGGATAAGAGTTTTCACAATTGATTGATCAATGTCATGTGTGTCAAGTCCTTATTTAGTGCAGATCGAATGCTATCGATCATGTTGCAATGTGGCCACCAGTCTAGGTGACTCGACACTGCGTGCACTATATATTGAGATTAGATGGTGGTTGGAGGTAGTCGACAGGAAACCCAGGACTCGGGTTTCGTGCTACTTGGCACTCGGGATCGAATCCGCCAGAGAGCACCAGTTCCCTCAAGATTACAGGTACACCTTGCTTACGAGTGCCAAATACCACGAAACCTAGGTCCAGGTTTTCCAGTCGACTACCTCCAACCACAATCTGATCTCAAGATAAGGGTTTATTTAGAGTATTCTCTGTTGATCTATGAAAACAATCTGTTTAACTTAATAATGAAATAAAGAGTTTGAATGATTTTATTAATAACACTGTAATGAGTATCACAGTGTGTAAGTGGATTCTGAAAATGATAATTAAGTCACACTAGCTTATTTATTTATTTTAACACATAGATATTGGTACAAGGAGGCACCAAATACATAAGCGCCACACAGATCTCATTTGATATGTGTGAGGGCTGTGATACTGCCCAAGTGCCCAGATTGAAGCAGGTGGTTATCTTAGGGGACCACACCCCGAGCCTTTGACCTAAAAGTCTAACCCACAAGGCAGTGGATCATCGTAAGGAGATGCAGTCCCATGGTAGCCGGTGACCAACGATTGGTTCATACGCAATTTGTTCCTTTAGGATACTGGAGCCCATGTGCACCATTGGTTTGAACTCAGGGTTTTCCAACTCCCCTAGTTGGACTCTCCGTTTCCACCAATGCAGTTAAGGCTCCGGACATTCGTTTTACGTCCTCTCAATTTCGTAAACAACACCCCCGCCACGAGAAGGCAGTGAGTAGGACTTCCCTGGCAGAGGCTATATATACTCGTGGCCATGTGAGAGCATTTCGAGAGGATGAGCGGACTCTACCCTCTCGGCCGTACCAGGGTATTTGGGGGCTAAGTCTTACTAGACATTCATACAATTTATACTATGGGTACTATTATTACTATTATTGTTAGTAGTAGTATCATAAGACTATGGAAGTAGGTAAATCGAATGAATGATTGACATATTTGTTTTTTTGGTAACTAAATATTTTATTACAGTAATTTATAGCAAAAATAAACTCAATAACTTTTTATATGTAAAATAATTGACATCTACATTTTGTTATTTCTTCGAATTGAATTATTGTCATTTATATAAAACAAAGCAATACAAATTCATTACAAAATAATCTAGATTGATTAAAGTTAAACATTAACACAATTGGATGTAGACTCAGTGGTCTAGAGGTTAAGCGTTCTCGAGTGAGATTGTGGATGTACACTGCTGAGGAATACAATATTAAGACATAATGGCCGTCTAGTGTTTCTAGGTTTTCCATGGTGGTTTAATTTTAATTGACTCATAAACTCAGTTAGTGAATTATAGTTGTCAATAATATAAGTTTTACATGCTTGATTTTATTTTATTGAAGTGGAGTTAAATCAATCTTCTTTTCTTTCGAAAAAGAAAGAAAAAAACTGATTTCCTATTTGAAATTATCAAGGTAGAACTAATGATCAGTATCACGCGATATTCTGTACTAATCTTTTCAATCATTATAGATTTTACATTAAGGATTTATATATTTTGATTCAATTGGATTAGACTGGATATTATACCCATACCTAATCCCTCTTTTTTAGTGTTTGATCTATGAATGGATACACTAGCTTATTGAATAATGTACAGTAATATGGATGATTAAATAACATATTACTCTTTTACAAACTCTTCTGTAATTGAAACTTCATTTTGTTTTTCTACTAAAAGTACATGGATTAAGGTACACAAAAGTGATAATTACTTCAACTCTAAACGTATAATTTTATAGTAAATCATTCACAATAAATAACTTCTAGTCTGTTCGTAATTTATTTGGTAATATTTTATGGATAAACATTTCATTTCTATGTACTGTATAAAAGACTATAGTGATTAAACTAGTTCTGTGTGAACCATTGTTGACAATTTCATAGGATGATGGCTCAATATGCATACATGTCAGAATGTTTGCTTATGAAGTTCACTGATCGAATTCAAATCACTATTGAGACAAAAAAGGGATCTTTCATACGTTGTGCAAAATACTGTATTCTTGGTTCATTATTGTGCTCTATCACAGGTCAGTAATACTGATGAGTTTTAAAATAGAAACGAGTGATTATCCGCTGTCAGCTAGAGCTAACGTATCTTGCATCTGAATCGGATTTGTGACTAAAACCGAGTAATAATTACATTTATCATTATGGTTTGGCTCAGTTTAAAACAGTCGTATTGTTGAATTAATTTACTTTTTTCCAGACACTATTTTTATTCATTATATTTCGTTATTCTAATATTTTGATGGAGTTTTGTTCTCTGAGCTGGATGGTTTGGTCGTGCGAAGTCTTCCTTGTGTTTTTGGAAGCAAACCAAATCTAAATTACTTAGATTTAACTAGGACAGAACAAGTTTTGAGGGAAGACAAAATATAAAATTCAGAACATAAAATTTCCATTACAATTATCTTTGCAAATTTATTGATTTCACTAAAGGTTATGAGTAAAGTATCACTAGTTTTGATCACAAATTTATCAAATATATAAGTTGTGATGACAGACTGATAAGCATAGGAAACTGTGCCAACTCTTGCTAGTGTTAACAAGTAGGGTTTAAATCAAACATTGTCATTAAAACAATAGCATGTACCCTAAATCACAAAATTTATGTAAACCAACATTTCTGAAGTGATGATTAGAAATTTAAAATACATAGATTACGGGATTAGCTGGTGTTTTTTTAAAGCAGATATTTAAATATGTTTAGTGTGATAGACCTGGTTTAGAATAAACTTGTGAATAGATCCTCACCAATGAAATCGTACTAACGTTTTATATACTTCCTAACTAAATAAAAGTATTTGACTTCTGTGTGCGAAATGTCCGCTAATATACTACACTCTCAATCCTTCAAATACAATGGTATACAAACAAGTGAATATATAAAGGTCAAACAAGTCATGTGGGAACACTAAAATGAGCTTAATTTTATATCCAGTCAAATTTGTTCGATAACAAGAAATGTCATTATGATATAATTACGCCTATCACCAAGGACGATGCACGGTTATGTATGAAAGCATTTTAATAGATGAATTTATGAGTTAATTTATGCTAGACCATCTTGGAAAACTGGAAGAACTGGACGCCTTTTGTCCCTATTACGGAAGTCCTCAGCAGTGCCATCCGAAATCTAGAGGTTAAGCGTTTATTCACGAGACTGAAGTTCCTGGTCTCGATTCCTGCGTATTAGGTCGTCGATGCCTACTGCTGAGAAGTTCCATACTAGAACTAAACGACCATTCAGTGCTTCCACGTTTTAAATGACGGCCCTAGCTTTAATCGACTGATAAATTCAACTATTAAACTACTAGAATCTTCACAAAAACCCCACAATCTAATAAGGAAGCATTTGTTTACATCATCATTAATCAAATCAATAAATTTTTTATAATATACAATTTACCTGAGGAAGTAATGTAATCATAAATATGAAAACAATAGCTAATAAAAATTTTGTCATTCTATTTTCTGCTTTTTCACGTTCATTTTCAAATGTATTACGTTTTTTTAATAGAGTAACATTTTTATACATTGAATTAGTTGTATATGATAAAGTATTAGATCCATGAATGGGTTGAAATTTAATCTTCTCTTTTATATCATGATTATTTAATTGATTTTGATTTTGATCTAATTCATTATTATTAATGATGATTGAATTTGAACTAGTTGGATTATGTGAACTGGATGTTTCAATAACACGATCAACACATATGATTGATTTGGTTTTCATTTTTCTCATACGTGAATTTTGTCTACGTATTGTATATATAATCATAAAACTAAGTACACATAAACATAATAATGGTAGAAGTTTCAAAAAAATTGCTGTATTCCAATAAAGATAATTTAACATAACTTCATTATCTACATAAGTAACCATGTAACTATTCAATGTTTGTTCATTATTATTTTGTACAATATGATGATTCATAATACATGGAATAGATAATATACTACTAATTATAAATACTATTGTAATAGCAAATTTAGCTCTTTGCATACTGCATAAAATTTGACATTTAACTATAAATTTTACATAGAGAACTCGAAATACAGCTATAACAACAACAATATAACTTGAAGTTAAATGAAGAAAATTTTGTAGACTAATATGAAATAGAAGATAAACAGCCCAATTATAAGTTGAATTACGTGTATGACGACCAATTAAAAAATAACTTGTAAATGGTATATAGAAAATCATCAATAAACCATCACTGATTGCTAATGATGTTAATAGAAAATTTGTCGGTGATATCATATCACGTTGATTAAGTACAATTACAATACAAATATTAGATAATACACATATAGGACATAGAAATAATGTAATATATCCATGCATATCACCGTAAACACGTCCAAATAATTCTAATGATTCAATAGGTTTACATTTTGCATTGATTATTGGCATAATATTGGTAGTTGTTACTAATGATGTTGTTGTCATAGATTGATTCACTTCATTTATTGGTGATGTTGATAGATTGTTTGTAGTTATTGTTGATGCTATGGTTGTTATCATTGTTGTTAATTGAGTTATATTATTGAGCATCATTCAACCTGTTCAATATATAGCCTAGATTATATAATCCATGAAAGTAAAACAACCTAGACATAATGCAAAGAGAGAAGAAAAAGAGAATTTGGCGCTAACACGTTATCACTAAAATTTACACATTGAACACTAATTTACATTGCTTAATTAGGGGAACTGTTTAACAAAATATTTAGCACCAATTATATCGAAACTATCGAATATAAAAATTATCTTTTAAATAATTTTGGCGCCTGAATTTTCAAATAGTTTCAACAGTTCATCTGACAGTCTGGTCAGAGTTACTTATGGCAAGACAAAATTATCATAGATAATTAAGTTTTAATATAAGTCTGTTCAAATTCTTGCCCAATTCTGTTCAGATATCGACTTAGTGTGCAATGAGAATATTAGCCACTTGACGTCGAAAGTTCTCAGAATGCGGTAAGCGTATAAGCATGGGTATATGTGTTTTCTGTTGTTTTAGTTACGATAGAGAAAACGTTCATTTCTTTGTTTATGATAAAACCTAAAGCACTTAGTAAACCAAACTAACAATTGTACTATAGACATTAGAAACAAAACGTATGGTTAACTTTGAAGGAACTAAATGTCTTAAAGAAGGAGTAAGTGCTGAAATTCTGTATATGCTGGAAAATCAGAACAATCTGAATAAAAGAGATGGACTATGGTTAGCTACACCATAGCAACTGTTGGTTAACAAATAAAAACACAAGCCCGAACATCATTTCAACAGCAATAGATATAGTTAATTATATTATTTGAATTCATCTCTGACTACTTTAAGTGTGATAACATTAATCAATATTCATTCGTTCTTAATCCACAGATCCCTAAGCAGGTTTAATTTGTTCATATATACTTTCAATTGCACAGTAAAAAAATGTTTATCTTTCCCTGGCTATAGCATCATATTTCATTGACCACTTGATAAAAATTAGTACACAAATACAATACGTAAACAAATGTTTACTATACCCTGAATTCGCATTTGAACAGTACTAGATAACTCGTTTTTTATCACTCGTATTTCATGTAATCCACATAACTTGTGGATTGTACTATAAACGTTTGTTCAAAATGACACAACTAGACTAATAATTGAGATTTTCCAATTAAAATCTGTGTCGGGTAGAGACAGGTATCTATCTCAGCACATTGGAAGATGGTCGCGCAATTTCGTGGATTGGTTGATGCTAAACACTAACACCATTGGATGCCGGCTCAGTGGTCCAGTAGGTTAATAGTTTGCGCGCAAGACCGAAGGCCCTGGTTTCGAATCCCGCGGGCAGGATCCGTGATGCACACTGCTGTGGAGACCCACAGTGGGACGAAACGGCCGTCCAATCGGCACATGATCTCAATCAAAAAAATTGAAATTTAATCGAACAGAATTACTAAAATGGTTTTTGTTAAGAAAATGCAATTTTTTAAAATTCGTTAACCCCTTGTATGCTACCAGTAATGAAAAGAAAAATCATATAAGCGTATAGGAGAAAAAACATGCGTGTTTATACGAGATATTTAAATGATGCCAAATATTATGATACAAATTTAAATTGCGCCAAGATGATTTGCAATGTTAAATTAAAAGTTCAAACAGTAGTCTTAAGTAATAGTTATAACATTTATAAACAGAGATGGATGGTGGTCATCAGTGGAATCCAGGACTCGCGTTTTGTACTATTTTGAACACGTTAGTTAGTTGTACCTTAGAAAGTGCTTGAAGCTGATGGCACTAGGTTCGAGTCACGGAGTAAAAGTCAGCTCTGGGATGCAGGTACATCTAACTGACGAGTCCCAAGTAGGACGAAGCGCACATCTTGAACTCCACTGCTAGCCACTATCTCTGTTTATAATGCTTGTTATTCAAGGCAATACCGAGGAGATTTGGACAGGATGCACATATGCTAATAAGAGACTGATCAGTTTCAGTCCGAAACATCAATGGGACGATTCAAACAACTAATGCAAAAAGGAATTATAATATTTGTTTGACATATTTGTTTACATCAGATAGGAAATGATGAAAAAATTAGTGAATTTGTAATTTTTGAAAAAAAATTGAAAAATGACTATTATTATTCAATATGATCATTGAAATGCATAAGTAGAATAGGTAAGACAACCTCTGTGAGACGCTAGAGTGACCTTGAGTGTCCACCTGATGGCTAAGAACAAATGAAGATTATCAACCTGTGTGAGTGATCAGAACTATGATTCACAGTTGATGGTTAAGGCTAGAAATTAGATTTACGGTTTTTCATCACGAAATGACATCAGCTAAAATGCCAAGATGCTATTTGGTCAAATGAGTGAGTGAATTTCGCCCAAAAATCCAAGACCTGTTATCCTAAATCTGATTGATTCGTCCATAAATTACAGTTTCGCCGTATAATATTCAGTTTTTATGATAATTTCGAGTGACATATTATTTTTTTTCGTAGGAATAATTATAGTAACTAACAAGAAAATTTGTTTGACTCTTTTTCAAGATTAGTAGAATGATGGTGAAATAGCATTAACATCGCATTATCATGCATCTAAGTGAAAGTAACCTGATTTTCATGTATTAATAAGTTGTACCATTTATTTGTATTACTCATATATACAATCTGGGAAACAAAACGACACGATAACTAATTCATAATAAAATATGCTGACACATTTCTAATTTAATAGTTGAATTCATAAGTCGATTAAAGTTAGACCACCATGGAAAACCTGGAAGCACTTGACGGCCGTCCCGTCCTAGTGTAGTGAACGAGAACACAAATGGAGACAATCGATTGTATTTGCACACAAAATTACAGAACACGGTGAATATTTCATTTGCCAAATGTCAATCAATTGTCTCAAACATGACTTTTCCTATTGCAGATATTAATCAGTAGTCTCAGACTTTACTGTTCCTTCATTTTCATATCAATCATTCTCTGTTCTCGTTCTCTTTTCTTCGCTCTTCTTAAAATTCTACTTCCTAATATTACACTTTCAGCTGATGATACATACTAATCATATCTATCGACATCATTAGCACAAACCACACTAGTATGAAACTCCTCAACAGTGCACATCTATAATCCCACTCGCAGGATTCGAACTCACAACCTTCAATCTTATGCGCTTGACCGATGTTATCATCGACTTTTATTTCAGAATTTCTCAAATTATGATGTTGATTATGATATTTTATAGAAAACAAATTATATAAAAGTTTATGTCACATGCTTTAATTTTTAATTAAAACAAAATAATTTAGCTCTTTAATTTTGAATTCGATTCATAAGCTAATTTAAATGAACATTAAATGTCTATTATTGTTGACAATAAAAATTAAAGTACGTTTACCAATACTAATTTACGTAAGATACATATATATATATATATATATATATATATATATATATATATATATATAGATAGATAGATAGATAGATTCTTTGTTTTGAAAAACATCGAACTGTTTTACGTCATCCATATGTATCTCTAATGAATTTCAGTCATAGTAGGAAATAATAATAATTTATCTACTAAAAGTCATTTTATCAATAAACAAATTGTAATACATAACAAATAAGAAATAAATTTGGTGAATTTGACATTAGTTTAATCATTTGAGAAGAGTTTGCCTTTTATTTATTAATTACTATCAGTATGAATGTCCGACACAGTGAATATATATATATAAGGGCGGCCTGCTTGAGCATCTGGGCTACCTGTTCCTGCCATCTAGATATTTCAACAAGTTATCTATTGTTGTTTGTTTTAATATATCATTATGTTTATTAAACGCATAACCTATTCTGCTGCGTTTCTGAAAAGTGTACAACCTTTCGTTGTCAAAGTTACAGAAAACTCAATAAGAGACAATATGGTTGCTGGCAATGTACAACGAAAAGAATGTACATTATTCAGTTGTTCATTCACTGAAGTGCTAACATCTAACTGGCGATTCCTCAATATTTATCGCCAGGACCGACCAAGAAGAAAGAAACGGAAACTTGTTGAAATACTTTGCGCTGAGAATTCTATATTGTACCAAAATTATAATATTGAATAAAGCTAATAATAATAATAATAATAATAATAATAATAATACTCTTTTTTTAATTGTAGAAAAAAATAATCATTTCCGTTACTATTATAATTTTTGTTCTATATGACCTCATAAGGTTATCGTATAGAACATCTAAGGTTCATAGTTTTATTTACTTAATAAATTAATGTAATTTTGTTGATTAATCACTTGGTAATTTAGTTAAATATGCTCCATAATGATCTATTAGTTGTATACATATATGAAACATTTGAAATTATTACTAATTATTAAATAATGATTAATGATAAATATCAAACTATTTAATGTATGGGCGGTAAGTTAGTCTCAAGATTTGTACTATCCAGTAAATCAATAGATATCTCTACAGAATTTTTTTTGTAAGCAATGACGGATCGTGGCTAGCACTGGAATCCAGGACGCGTGTTTCGTCCTACTTGTGACTCGTCAGCTGGATGTACTTGCATCTGAGTTGACGTTCACTCTGAGACTTGAACCCAGTACCGTTCGCTTCAAACGCCATTGCGTTATCCACTCAGCTACTGAGCCCTGATGGCTACTTGCTTATGCAATGGGGTGAATTTAAATTCACTTGGTATTGTTTTGCTTGTATCTTCCCATTGATGTTTAGGTCTGCGATTGATCAGTCTGTTATTGGCATACGCACAGTATGCACATATGCCAATAACAAACTGATCAATTGCAGTCTTAAACCTCAATGGGAAGATACAAGCCAAACAATACCAAGTGAACCACTACAGAAGATAGTAATATTCTGATTCATACCAATAATTCACTATTCAATTTTTTCACTTTAAAATGAACATTACACACATGAATATTTCATGATGTAATTTTTTTTCTAAGACAGTGTAATGCTTTGATACAGTTACAGTCTATAAATGCATAGACAAGGATATGTTCTTAGCTAGTTATATAG